ACAAAAACCTTGCGAATATTAACAAAAAAGAGCCGTACGCTCAATTTTGTAAGTAACAGTATGTACATATCGTCATCTGAAATGCAAAAAGACGTAACAAACATCGTAACTGAAATGGAAAAAGTCGTGACTAAAATTTGTATTTTTTTCATTAAATGATGTGGGAGTTGTAATTCGATGAAATCCATCATATCATCAAAAACTGAATTTTGAATTTTTTATTACTTACGACGTTTTGAATTTCAGCGACGATGTTTGTTACGTATTTTTGCATTTCAGGTGACGATATATTAATACTTATATTTATTTTATGTTTACTTATAGTTAACCACAATGATACGAACATAAACACCGCTATATATAACATTTTAAAAGAGCTTCGTGAAATAAAAGAGCAAATGCAGAAAAGTGAGGAGTCAAACAAAAAAATTGTTACCAAGTTAACCGAGGAAATAATATCGTTAAGGACAGAAGTAACGCAATTAAAAGCACGCGACTTGTTTGAAACAGACCGCTCACTGTTGCCATCCTTTCCATTTTGGGAATTAACTGCTTTAAAGGATTTTGACGAAAAATTGTTTTTGGACGACAAGATGAGAGCTCAGTTGGTAGGCGAATCTTAGTTCAGCTTCTGTGCTTATGATTTTAATAAAACATTGGCTTTATTGATTGCAGAAATGCGTGGTACAAAAAATTGGAGGAGAAGAAGTTCCTGTATTCGTCCGTTTAGCGTTAAAACAAATTGTGTCGGATGAGTTGGCAATTAATTTAACTTGGCGTGGGACATCGGAGAAGCCAAGCATACAAAACTTTGCAGTTTTTTCCATCATAAAAGGTTTAAAATAGCATATTTTTGTAATTAGCAATGCTTATATTTAACTAAGACTCATTTTTCTTATTTTTCCCAGACGTTTGTCACTCCAAGTTCCAAAATTCGACAGATTATCAAATTAATAAAATTGTCCAACAACATTTCTTACACGCCAGGGATAGAGTGCTCAAACGCAAACTTTCAAGTGAAAATACTCGCGGAAATTTACGCCTCTCCAATTAATTCCTTAACTCGTACACGTAACTAAATAATGTTAACAAATGATACCTTAACTAAAAAATTTAAACAAACTGTTTTTCTTGTTTCTAATGTTAATAAAAGTTAAAATAAAATTAAACAAATATATTTGCATTTTTTACATTAAGCTAGAAATAAAAAGAGAAACCTCCAGGTGTAGTTTATACGTCACGTTTCTGCGTCTCCCATACGACACTAAGAAGTTACTTTCGGAAGCGTCGTATGTAAGTATGTTTGGATGTACCGCTTTTGTCTCTTCCAGACGGATCTAAGAAGTTACTTTCGGAAGCGTCGTATGTGAGTATGTTTAGATATACCGCTTTTGTCTCTTCCAGACGACACTAAGAAGTCACTTCCTGTAGTGTCGCATGTGTGTCAGTGTGGACGTAACGCTTACGGGGAACAGTTTTTCCCGAAAGAGGGTAGTAAAAAGATGAGAAAGCGATAACTTCCGCAATGAAATTTAACTTCTTGAAGTTACTTTTTCGCCCCTTCCGCGATAATAAATGCTGGCAGGGATGTGATGTGAGCAAGTTTTTAATTTTTTATATGCACAGCACACGTGTGTGAGCGTAAAATGTTAGGATGTGCTGCGCATGTGTGCAAATACGAACCCTGCTTGGCCGTTTAAATTTACAGAATTTTAATTTAATATGACACATTTTTACAATATATATTAAGAATAACGTAATAAATACTACCTTGAATGCTAATTACTTCATGCAGTAATATCACGAATACTGCACACTACATACGTACACTAAACTTAAAATATATTAACTGATTTCATTTTAAATCACTTAAACTTAATATAATCCACGATGGGCTTCGAATATTCTAAATGAATTACTAAAATCAAATATTGTACGTTTCGTTTCAAATAATTTCCACGGGTTTGGCATTAAGTGCTTGGAAGTAAAACTGCGCCTCATTACAGCTCATCAAGAAAATGGTTTATATTCTGCAAATGATCGCCATAGTCCGTCGCCTCGCTGCCCACAAAAGTGTCATAGTTACTTAATATTTCCAAATAGCTTAAGCGATCGTCGTGATCTTCATCGGTTGATACAAATAAATGGTCAACTTCATCTTTGGCGATTGCCTCACTATTCGGCACTACCCAATTGAGGACCTCGTTACCGGTCAATAGGCCATCTTTATTCTCATCCAAATGATCGAAGCGATCTTTTTCTTCCACCAGCCATTCACGACTTCTCTCTTGCCCAGCTTTGCCGATGAATTCGGAGTAATCTATTTCACCATTGTGATTTGTATCCTTCTCACGGAGAGTATGCTCCAGCACGATGGGCAGCATTTGCGGGTGCTCCTCTGGCGAATAGAAGAGAACATATTCTTTGGAGTCCAGTACACCATCCTTATTCAAATCGGCAGCATTGAAAAGCTCCTTGTCACATTTAAGCATTTGTTTCTCCTCATCATAGCTATCGAAATCGATTAGTTCTTTCTTTTCTTCTTCATCCTCCATCGAAAAGCTATCTTTGAGATATTCCTTCCAAGTTATTTGATAGTCACCATCTGCATCAATCTCTTCCATTCGGTCAGCTGCTTCCTCTTCGCCGAGTTTTCTGTATCCATGAGTACCAAATATGAATTATTACAACTTTTGCTTCAAGCCATTAAATATAGGAAATAACGGAACTAGTTAGGTTGTAAAATGCATATAAATATATACAGTGGCCTTCAAAATAATTGCAGCAAAATTCAAAATGATGCTGTTTACAACTTGTCTTTATTTATTTTGTCTTTATTTAATAATTTTTATTTATAATATTGGTGGATCTATATCAGATCGATACCACATAAACAAAAGTTAACAAAAACTAACTAAACTTAAAAAATGTTCGTCAAAATTTCGATTTTTTTTAATAAATTTCCTAGAAACATTTCGAGTATGCAGTTTTATAGCCGATTAAATTTTAGTATTACAAAGTGCAAGTTTTGTAGAGACTGTTGCACATTTTGTTCCTTATAAAAGGAAGTTTTGTTCATGCTTTATATAGGGGAAATGCGCAACACGCCCCACAAAACAAATCTAAAAAAAAGGTAATTTTTAGCGACTTGAAGCTCGCATTAAATTTTACTTAAATTAAATGAGCTTGAAAATTGCACAATCGAAATCTTTCTAGGAAATCTAGCTAAAAAAATCGAAATTTTGACGAACATTTTTTTAAGTTCAATAAGGTTTTGTGAACTTTCTACAAGCTTTATAACATTTATTTATGTGGTATCTTATATAGATCAGCTCATATTTTAAACGAAAATTATTAACTGTATTGTATGTATAGTTTCAGGCAGGCTCATCCTAAACTATGTATTTTTTATTTTAATATTTTTATTGAGCTTTGTACCACGATTTTTTGTTTATTAGGGAAAACTGAAAAAGCAACAAAGTTTAAGCGGTAGAAGTTATAGCAGCTATTTCGGAGATCACCACATCTCCTCATCAGACTTCTTTTTTTCTAGACTTCAGCAGGGATCGAACCCAGATCATCGATGTGCAAAGTCAGAAGCGCTAACCACTGAGCTATGCACACCCCGTAAACTCTTGTAGCTAATTCATTACCTTATTCAACCTACAACCATCAAGTGTAGCTGATTTACCGCTAGCAACAAAAGTGCTTCTGAATTTGCACATCGATAAATAAAATTACTTACCCTAAGGGCCGTTTTCTCATCTAACCTTTAGTTTACCGGCCACTTTATCGTCCCGATATACGAGTTTTCGTTTTCTCATCAGCGCATTAAATTCTCGAATCGATAAACTGTTGCTCACCCGATGCAACCTTTAAAATTTGTACCCAACTTTAAATTTTGGTTTGGTTTTGGTTCATGAGCCAGCTATATTAGATATTTCAACCAAAGGTTTTGGTTTTTGCTAACAGTTGCTCTTGCTCTATATTTGCTTATGTTGCATTGCCAACCTTTGAAATTATATGACGAATGTAGTGAAGTTTCACTCTCGGAACTGTAGTGAAGTTTCACTCTACGAAATAACAAATTTATTTTTACCGGTAAGATAAGAAAATTAAAACACTTTAAAGTGAGGAACAATTTATCTGCCCTGTTAGTAAAGGCAACTTTACTGCTTACATTAGAAAATGGCCCTAAGTAAACATAACTTGCTCAACGAAGTTTAAAATAACATGGCCTAGGGCCGTTTTCTCATCTAACCTTTAGTTTACCGGCCACTTTATCGTCTCGATATACGAGTTTTCGTTTTCTCATCAGCGCATTAATTTCTCGAATCGATAAACTGTTGCTCACCCGATGCAA